ATCAATTCAGATAGAAAACCCATCACTTATTTAACTAAGAGAAAAAAATCGGAGGGGAGTGCTTAGAACTATTCACAAAACGATGAGTCGACAGAGAATAGCTTTTCTGTAATATATAAAATTCAATTCGCGTAAAATTATTCCAAAATTAATAAAAATATCAACATTCCTTTCTCTTCATGTTCTCCTTGCCGCAGAAGGTACAGACGTACTTGCTGTGCTGGGAGATTTCCATCTTCTTCACGGTCTTACGGAGAGAAGCACCATACCTGATAATTTTCAACATTAAAACAAGACAAACAAAATGTTTGTACATTATTTCTATTAAAGCAGTCATGAATTTTTATATTCCCGTGTGGGGGGGGGGAGGGGGTAAAACAAGCATTCTCTAGTCCAGACCCTATATATCTTCAAAATGAACGTCTTGATTTAAGAATTGATATATTTAGATCAACACCAGGATTAAACAGGAGCGACATATCTAACGAGATTAACTGCTAGTAAATGAAAAATAATCTTAGGAAAAAATGATTTCAGAAGTACAGGTGTTTCCGACAACCCTCTTTTCATTTGAGGTTTCACCTAAGTTAAAATTTGAACGTGATAACCCTCAAGAGATTTAAATCAGATATGAAAAATTGAACAAACCAATTTTGCGCCGATCACGGGGGCTGATAGTTTGACAATTATGCACGTTCTGAAATTGAATTAAATATTTTGAATCGTTATAATTTACGATGTTACCCAGCTAGGATAGGCTTGGGGGCCGGGCGCTACGGCCAAATGGTCCATGTTCTCTAGAAAATTACTGGACTACAAATAAAAAGTCGGAATAATTTTGCTTAAGCATGTCCTGAAGTTTTAATTAATGTTTAAAACTTATTCAATTCGCTTTGAATCTAAATTGTAATCATTAAAAATTAACGTTTTCCTCACAACCGCAGACTTAAATCATTAAGTTATATAAAACTTTGAATTGAACATTGATTCTATTACCTAGTTCCGTATTTACCGGTGATTCCAACCTTCTTGGTCCTCTTGGCCATTTTCTCTTCTGAAACAAATTTTATTTATCACTTCACCATTTATCTTCACTTCTCACAATATGGTGCAATAGATATTATAATTTTTCCACAATATGGTGCAACATATATTATAATTTTACCGCAATTTTGGTGCAATAAATATTACTTTTTATTATCGTTAAAAATGGAAAAACTTTGAGAAGTAAAGCATTAATGTCAGTAAAAAATGCTTTAATAAGCTAAGAATTCTGTAGTTATCATCGAAAAACATGCCATTTCCGGCTTTAACACAACTATAATTAAAGAAATATCACTACAGTAATGTCAAATCAAGGCGAAATATCACAAACAATTCATTCTGATAACTCAAATTACGAAGTAGGGACGTAGTACGTATCCATCTAACCGAATTTCTTCACATTACGAAATGCGTGAATCCAGCATGCGGTTCCATTGTTCCGGAAATGGTAGTTTCAGAAACCGGTTTTAAGGTCGACTACGTCATATCCTTTCTCACGCAACCTCCATCAAAGAAGACGACAGAGATTTATTATTCAACCTACGGTTTATCGGGACTATATAGGAACTACAGTGGGTCACTTGGGCTTTTGTTTGTCAATGCCAAAGTTCATGGGATGGTAATCAAATACAGGGTGTCCCACGAAAAAAAATTTAGGGGGGTGATAAAAACCTCATAATCTACAGTTGCAACAACCTACATTTACGTTTACATAACGAATGCAGAATGAAAGATATCCCATGTATAAGCTGTTGCTTCATCTGCTATGAACTGGACTAGAATTTTGCAGATTCAACCTCATTCAGAATAGATTTTAGGACAAAATCTTCACCTTTATTCAAGCAATAATTTACTTTATCATTAAGTAGTTCCATTTTTTCATTTTTCAGCAGCCCCCTCCCCTTAACCCACAAAAGAAAAAAATTAGCTTAAACTGTAATTTGTTAAACATTGCATTCCAATAACTTTGGTCAATAATTTTCCAGGAGACCAAATTTTTATTGATCCATTCTTTTCTGCTTGTTTTTGAAGCATTCCTCTGATTGAACTATAAGCTCAATGAACTAATGTTCAATTATCATTTTTTTGTTTTACGATCAGAGCTCTTAAATTTGCTCAGGGTCAGGATTCGAAAATCGCTAAATTGCAAAACAGGGTGGACTTTTTGCCCCCCCCCCCCCTATAGTTGCACGCCTGAGCCCATTCTCTCCATAGAAAGTAGTCGTGTATTTCACGTACTTTGGGGGACGATATGTTGGCCTCTAGATGTCTCATGCTAAGTTCTTATCTGATAGATAGATATTTCTCCGTACATTTCACGACCAAAATAGGAGACGTCAAGTTGTCGACCAATGTAGTTTATAGAAGGAACGGCCTCTAGGTATATAGCCGAAATCGGCTATTTTGCTAGCTGGAGGTTTTTTGAAAATATCTTTTAAATGGAGATAGATATTACTTTGGGCGCCGTAAGATAATTTTTAGTAAACAGCTGAACTAAATTTAGGTCAAAAACCTTACGAAAAATAAATTTGTAATTATTTGATAAATTTCTAATAAAAATTGATTTATAAAAGACCTTAATCTCCTTTTCTGGTTGATAAATAAATTAAAGATTTAATACAAATATTTCACGAAAATATATTCTTTAAATTATTTTTTTAAAATTATATATACTTATATTTAGCCCTGTGTGCAAAGGAGTACACATTTATTTGTACACTTTGACCTCTTCCAGTAAAGTAATTGATGTAAATCTTTCGTAACGATTAAATATTACCTATTTAAAACTTATTATCAAGAAATGATTATCGCTTATTTTTATGGAAGTATATAGTTTTTTTATATAATCACTTTCAGATTATTCAAAATGAGTCCTTCGTCAGTTTTTATCACTGGTTGCAACAGGTGATACTTTTTATAAATCAGAAAGAATTTAAGAATTAACATGGCCGATGTAACACCTGAAACCGCAACTATTATTTTGTTATTTTATCAAAGAGAAACATGTTTTCTTTCATGTTTTGATTTATATTTTGTATTATAGGCAAATCAATTGCAAGATTAGAAGTATGATTCAAAATTATCAAATTTATCCCCCCCCCCTTTCACTTTCCAATCTTTACGCCTAAGTTCAATTTATGTCTTTTCAGGGGTATCGGATTAGAGTTGGGTAAGAAAAATAATTTATTTAATAAACATCATAATTTTTGGAAATTTCCTTGAGAAGGATTTTTGGTCTCCCCCCTCCTTCATCAAAAAATGTACACGAAATTTTGAACATGTGGTCGCAGCGCTCGGCCCCCTTACGTCTGTCCTAGCCGCAGTGCTCGGTTCAGAGAGTGTCAGACCCTGAAATAATACTAATTTCATTTTTTATGAACGTTAAGGGGGGCGGCGGGTCTAAAACCCTTTCTCTAAAATATTTAAACTGTTTTTCCTGTTAATATTTTAGTGTCTAACATAATATCTATTTTACTAGACTTGAAAACTAACAAACTTAAACCTTCTGTTCCCAGTAGTACAGTGAGAACAAGAAAACTTTTGACAGTAAAGTAAAAGTCAAGTGTTTCTGATGTTGTTATTAATCAAATATTTTTACCAGTAACTTTTGTAAATAAATTATTAAGTGTAAATGGGTCTTCACTGCTCAATTGATTTCTGACGGACCATAGAAAGTCCAAACTTGAGTCTTAAAGTCGTCTTTTTCTCCTTGATAGACTTTATTTTAATTTAGTTCGTCAGTTCATTGTTTCTGAATCTGCTCCCCGTCATATATTTGCAACTTACAGAACCCTTTCAGGTCACTTTTACACACATATTCAATTTATATTAAGTGTAAAATCAAATCTAAAATATTATACAGAGTGTAAAATCAAATCTGAAATATTATATTGAGTGTAAAATCAAATCTAAAATATTATATTAAGTGTAAAATCAAATTTAAAATATTATATTGAGTGTAAAATCAAATCTAAAATATTATACAGAGTGTAAAATCAAATCTAAAATATTGTATTGAGTGTAAAATCAAATTTAAAATCTTATATTGAGTGTAAAATCAAATCTAAAATAACCATTTTCGTCTTAAAATTTTTATTTTAGAGTTAAATCATAATTTGTAAGGGGCCTTAAATATTTTATTTTAAGAGGAAAAATTAATTTTTCGGGAAGTCTAAATTTCTGAAAATCATTTTATAATCTTTGTCCGAAGGCGTGGGGGGGTATAATGGTTATAATAGTTATAATGGTCATAATGGTTATAATGGAAAATGATTTTGGATGATCTGAGCTGAAAACTTTAGAATGGTGCATATCGAGATTAATGCTTGATCTCCTCTTTTTCTTAATCTCCAGATGAAATCATGCTTTTTCTCCTCTTGTTATTAATCTCCAGATTAATTAACCGGTCGGGATTAAGGATATCCCATTCTAAAGTTTTCAGCTCAGGAGGGACAAATGAAAATTTGGAAATGAAAAGACAAGTTTACTTTTTACCGAGAAAATTAATTATTTTCTCCAATTCCAAGAATTTAACCCTTAAAAAAACATAACCAACTTTCGGGTGGGATATTGATTTTTGAAGAAAATATACACCCTAGCACCACTAATATTAGATGAATTGAAGAAGCTGGGTGACGAGAACAAGAATGTTCATCTGATTAAAATGGATGTCACGGATATTCCGTCTTATCCGGCAATTGTAAAACAGGTATATTCAGTTCATTTCTTATTCAAAGGAATTGATAAACGTTTTTGTAAAATTGTCAAGATCATGTTTTTTTAACCATGAATAGATGACGGAAATGTCAAAGATTATGCATATTGCATATGTACCCAAATAAAGATTTTTTATTTTATCGCGCATAATTTTTAAGTTTTTGCAATTGTAATAGTTGGGTTCATTATTTTTGAGGTTCCACAAATTATTACAGTGGAAAGGAAAGGGGGGGGGGGGGGGGGGATCAAAAATTAAAAGTTTGATACGGTTGCATTTTATGATTCAAATAGAACGAATTTAAAGCTCAAAATCTATTATGAGGTTGGTTAAAATAAAACTTCTTCAGTTCTGGGAAGGGTTTTGTATTTATCCTCAAACTATCGAGGTTGACGAGGTTGTAGGAGAGGCTGGATTAAACCTTTTAATCAACAATGCCGGCCTCCTACCTGGGCCTCGGGAGTATGCGTCCACAACGCCGGAGTTCATGAGACAGGCTTTCGAGGTCAACTGTATAGCGCCGTTCTTCTTCACTAAGGCAAGTTATTTTCCGGGGTGAGAATTTTGGTTTTAACGAAATTATTCCTCCCCCCAGGCCCCTCAAATCATCGTCCATGCCCTCTATTGAAGAGACAGGGGAAATCCTAAGAAAATGTGTTCTTGAACTTTTGTAATACTTGTTACCCTAAGAAAAATTTTTATTTCCTTAAAAAATCAATAATTTTTGCTAAGTCAGTGAAATAAAACTTAGGTTTTTAATTAGCTTGTTACTATTCTTTTTGGTTTCCCTTTCAGAACTATAATTATTTTTTTATGGTAAAGTTATGATCCTGCTATTAAAACGTTGTAATTATAAGAAAATAAAATTTATATTTAAATAAAAATCCAAATTTTTTTAATAAACATTTTTTTCCTCTCGAAACTCAAATAATTATGTATTTTTTTTTTAATTTTTAAAAATTTAAAAAAATGTTGTGATGTTAAAATAATAAAGAACTTTACTGTTACAGGCAATGTTTCCTTTAATTGAGAGAGCTGTAAAGGGAAGTTCAGAAAAAGGTTTTTTACAAAAATTACACCCATTTTTGTTATCACTGTAACCAAAATATTTTCTAGGCATGAGTTTGAGAAAGGGAGGTGTGGTTCAAATCTCTACAGTGTTAGCCAGTGTCACAGAAACTACTGGTGGAATATACCCGTACAGGTTTAATAGTTGACTTTATTATCATTATTCATATCTAAACTTGGTTTGAAAAATTAACAACCTAGTGTTGTATATGATAAAAGCAACTTAAGGATATATATTTTGGACTGAAACCAATACTAATGATATTTCGAGAGTACGGAATTTAATTTATTAACTTATATATATACAAACGAATACTATACGATCAAATAGGATCAAAGTAGATTGAACACAGCTTTACTCCACTCCCACTGCCTCATCAGCAAGCATTCTTTGGACCCGCCATCTCCCGCCGGGGATCCATCCCTAGCCTCCTTGGCTCGGCGGGTCAACGCCCCTCTCACCACGCTACTCTGAGATAAGGGATAGCGTCAGGTAGAAGCTAGTCCCGGATTTTTGGCGAGGCTTGGTCTATTTATAACTACAAACTTAGCATCATTCTAATAATAACTGAATATATACAGAAAGGGTTTATATCCCTTTGAGCAGTAGATCGCTGGAAGATCAAAAGACGATCATAACTCTGCCACACTAGTTGTTTAAGTGTTTTTGAATAACTTTAATTACTCTAGAACAGACGTGTGTATACTGTTCAAAATGCTATTCAAAGCATTTCTAGGCATCCTAGTCCTTATATATCTGGCAAACATAAAAAAATCAAACCCGATAGGATCCATGAGACCCAAGCGGACACGGGTAAGTGGCTGGAGCTCGACCCTGGAGATCGATGTTTCATTGTAGGTTGTTAGTTAATAATAATAATAATAATAAAAAAATCGGAATTTTGGTTTAAAAGTTAACTTTTTGGTCTCTAAATTGCTTACATAACATCGCTAAAACATGTCACATTCTTTCTCTTGAAAACTGTGTATATTTTTTATTTAATATAAATTTCTTGTATATATAGCTGTCGAACATGACAAAATCCAGTTTTTCTCGCAAAAATTCTATAAAAATCCGGTTTTTCTCGCAAAAATTCTATAAATATTTTAATAGTCAGTTAGTATCGACGATTTCGGATCTCAGTGACTTCTTTTAATAAGATTGGTTTTATTTTTTTCCTTTTAAAAAAAAGCATAACATTTTTTTTAAATAGATGATGCTTAAATGTTGTACTTTTAAATGCATGAAATCTGTAATGCTTGAAAGTTTGAACATTTTAAATTGAACATTTTTTACGCAGGATAAAAACAATTCCCCTTACCTTTCTTTCGATGCATTATGTAATTTCGATTCTTTTATGTTAAAGTTAAACTAAAGCATTCTTAAAATGTGCCCTAGCACTTGCCAATGACATATTACAGTTAGAGTAATTTAAAATTTCAAAATTCTTTCTGATGTCTTTACCGACCAGTATTTCATGGTCTCCTGCAGAGCTTAGGATCCGGATCCGTTGGATCCGCAAGATTTTGGCTTCCCGGATCCGGAACCGCAAAAATACCCGCGGATCAGGATCCACGGGGCAAAATAGCAACCAAAAACTGATCCCAGAGTGGCTCATTAAGTTTTAGCATAAAATTAAGCGAAAAAAAAGAAGAAAAAAATTGTCAATTCTGCTTTGTTAAAAAATTAGTAAATTTTCGAGAAATGTTCATTACCTTGATCCAACTCCGGATTCATTTTTTCCAGTGCGGATCCAGGATTCGGATCTGCCTCTGCATGAAAACTAAATGTATCCTAAGCACCGGTTTCCTTGTTATCACTGTATTTGTCTAGATGTTCTAAGTCTGCCCTGAATATGAGTATGAAAAGTATGTCCCAGGATTTGAAGGATACTGGAGTACTTATCCTTGCAGTTCATCCTGGCTGGGTTAGAACAGATATGGGAGGTCCTAATGGCCAGGTAATTTTATAAAGGAAGCATATACAGGGTTACCCACAAAGTATGAGACTTAAGACGACTGGGAACACTTTAAATATAATAATCTGAATGTTGAACTGGGCTTTTTGTCTTTAATCAATGATCTACTAAATGATTTAGCAACGAAAGAAATAACTTACTGGTTGGAGGGATCGGGATAATAACCGGGGTAATGGAACTTTAACATGTTACTTTTGATTTGATTTGATTTAGATCGAAAAATTAATCACGCGACCTCAATTCATGTTATTTTCAATTTGAGATGTTACCACGGGCGGACTAAACCATTATCTCAGGGTGGGGCCCATGGGCCCAGGCCCCCCTTGTAGTCCGCCCCGGGTGTTACATGTATGTTTCGCAACGGATTCGGAACCCTTCACTCTTTATCAGATAAACAATAAATGAAATGTTTCTCGGTGTGACGAATTTTCTAAAAGATAATCAAGGAAAATTAGAATCATTTTTATTCTTAAAAGGATGAAAGAGTCCCATGGTAGATCAGACAGGCACCGAAATTTCTCCCCAAAAATATTTTTAACTCAATTAATTTTAGATGTCTACTGAGGAGTCCTGTAAGTCCTTACTGAAAACATTTGCTGAGGTTTCAGACAAGGTGGATTTATTGATTGAAAAATATTTATTAAATAAATGCATTTCATTTTTAAACCAACAAAATTCTTAGTTAGCGACCTGTTGTCGCTAGACTAAATTATAAACAATTTAATTATACGAAAAAGAGAAAATAGCATCAAATACAGCAAGAACCAGAAAACTGTAAAACATGAAGACGACTTTTAGATTTAGTATGATGTAAAATAGTCCATTAAACATGAAATACAGCAATTTTGCATTGATACGGTTAAAATTAAACTATTTAATCTATAACGGCATCAAACATGATTAATATTGATTTAATGTCTTTTTCTCATTCCACTGTTTCATGGTTAAGTATCTATATGATTTTATAAAATATATCAAAACTTGAATAATTAAGGATCATGGAGCGTTCCTGCATTATGAAAACAAACCAATTCCTTGGTAGATCTCACATCAGAATATGTCTAGTTACGAATGTAAACATGTATACTGTTAATTAAATATCTAATCAGTAAAACACAGATTACTTTCCATAATGTTAAATACGTATTTTTTCTTGTATCTTTTAAAGGGCCTCAGGGACTGTCAAAACATTTTTTAGTGACAAGACTGAGGACGGTGACCTTAGAGTTGCATATCCGATTTACAGTGATACCGTTTTAACCTTTATCTCAGCAACAATGATATTTCTGCTCAGTCAAAGGTTTAAATGGTATCATCTTAAAGGAAGTGACCGGCAATGTACATGGTAATTGAACGGAGAATGTAGTATTGTGGAGAATTTTTTTAGGATTTATTTGGGACATAAAAAACGTTTTAATGATGTATAATTACTGAATTTGAGCGCAAAGTCGACGTTCAAAATCATCCATTTGTGTTGTTACGCTATGTGAATCGATTTTTTTAAAATTAAAATCTAAAAAATCTAAACTTATTAGATGTTTAAGAACATATTTCTCAATCGAAATTTTCTCAATAAATTAATTTTAGAATCAATTCTTTCTTTTTCGTCATTATATTATTATTCAAGTCTTTATTGGTTCTAAGCGATACACGGCGGGAGTTATACATAAGTATGATCACAGAATTTTGCATAGAATTAATCTACTCATATTTGAAATAAGGTTTAATGAGTTTTACAAAATGAAAAATGAAAATTAAGAATTAGACGCTGTTCGAAAAATATTTTTCAACTTTTCTTTAAGACGGCAGGAAACATCAGAAAAATATAAAGTTAGGAATAAAGCCTAAACTAAAGCGAAGTTGGATCTGAGTATGTGATTTTATGAGATCCAGGACGTCATTATATTGAATTCTTAATTCTTTATGAATTTGTTCGCAGATTTCTTCAAATTCTTCCAATGTCGTCTTTTCAATAAAAAGTCCAGAAAATCTGCAAAAAATGTTTATGAGCATTCAGACATTACAGAAACCAATAACTGGACAAGATTACTTATTTTCGATGATAATAGTTAATTCTTATTTTCTTAACATTTTCCTAAACAACTATTAAGCTTACTGTAGAATTTTGACTTCATTTTTCGTGGTCGTTATTAAATAATTTTATAAAAACCGACTCTCTAAATCATCTTTAAAAAATTAACAATCTATGAGGATTTTAAAAATCAAGTATGTGCTCTTGCTGAACAAATTATGCACCGTAAAAACGTCTCATAGGTCTCAAATGATTCCTAAAAAATTTCTCAAATACATCATTGTCAGTTCAACTACATGCATTGCCGGTCACTCCCTTTAAATCCAAATTTTAATGTTGAAATTTGTAAATAAAAAACATTTGTGATTACGCCAAGTGAATTTGTTAAGAAATAAATGGAATAATCATGCACTTTGAATTAACAAGTGAGACAAATTTTGATTTTATTTTTATATTTTCAGATTCTTTCACTCTAAAAATGAGCCCAAAATCTGTTCTGATAACCGGTTGTAACAGGTTAGTACCCTTTAGGGCCAGAGGTTCATAAAAACCTTTTAGGTCGGAATTGTTTAAAGATATGTTTCCAGGAATAACTATAAAAAATCCTTTTTCGTAAAATAATTCAGCCTTAATAATGGAATTTAACCTTCTATTTTTTAGAGGAATCGGCTTAGAACTAGGAACATAATTCATGTCCTCGTACAATTTTCTAAAACTTGAAAATTTTTATAAGAAATTTGCCAAAATTATTTAATTTAAGAAAGTTATTTTTAGGATAATACTTATTTTTGATTCAAATAAATTTTTCGTAAATAATACCGACATGGTTGGGTTGTCCAGTTAAGCAGTTTCTCGCGTTAGGCTCTCCACCACAGCACATCTTTGCCACCTTTAGAACTATGTCAGGTATATGGGTAGAAAGTATACATTTATGACATTTATAATTCAAAATAAACTGGTAAAGCTAAGGGATAGGAATGATAATGTTTAGATGAACTGGAAAAGCTAAGGGATAGGAATGATAATGTTTAGATGAACTGGAAAAGCTAGGGGATAAGAATGAAAAGGTTTAGATGAACTGGAAAAGCTTAGGGATAAGAATGATAATGTTAAGATGAACTGGAAAAGCTAAGGGATAGGAATGATAATGTTTAGATGACCTGGAAAAGCTAGGGGATAAGAATGAAAAGGTTAGATGAACTGGAAAAGCTAAGGGATAAGAATGATAATGTTTAGATGAACTGGAAAAGCTAGGGGATAAGAATGATAATTTTTAGATGAACTGGAAAAGCTAGGGGATAAGAATGATAATGTTCAGATGAACTGGAAAAGCTAGGGGATAAGAATGATAATGTTTAGATGAACTGAAAAAGCTATGGAATAAGAATACAAATGTCAAGAGGAACTGAAAAAGCTAGGGGATAAGAAAGAAAATGTTTAGATGAACTGAAAAAGCTAAGGGATAAGAATGAAAATGTTCAGATAAACTTGAAAAGCTAGGGGATAAGAATGATAACGTTCAGATAAACTGAAAAAGCTTTGGGATAAGACTGAAAATCTATCTATGAACTGGAAAAGCTAGAGGATAAGAATGAAAATGTTAGATGAACTGAAAAGCTTTGGGATAAGAATGGAAATGTAAAGCTAGAGGATAAGAATGATAATGTTTAGATGAACTGGAAAAGCTAGGGGATAAGAATGATAATGTTTAGATGAACTGGAAAAGCTAGGGGATAAGAATGATAATGTTTAGATGAACTGAAAAAGCTAGGGGATAACAATACAAATGTCTGGATGAACTGAAAAAGCTAGGGAATAAGAATTAGATGAACTGGAAAAGCTAGGGGATAAGAATGATAATGTTTAGATGAACTGAAAAAGCTAGGGGATAACAATACAAATGTCTGGATGAACTGAAAAAGCTAGGGAATAAGAATGAAAATGTTTAGATGAACTGGAAAAGCTAGAGGATAAGAATGAAAATGTTTAGATGAACTGGAAAAGCTAGGGAATAAGAATGAAAATGTTTAGATGAACTGGAAAAGCTAGGGGATAAGAATGAAAATGTTTAGATGAACTGGAAAAGCTAGGGGATAAGAATGAAAATGTTTAAATGAACTGGAAAAGCTAGGGGATAAGAATGAAAATGTTTAGATGAACTGGAAAAGCTAGAGGATAAGAATGAAAATGTTTAGATGAACTGGAAAAGCTAGGGGATAAGAATGATAATGTTGAGATGAACTGGAAAAGCTAGGGGATAAGAATGATAATGTTTAGATGAACTGGAAAAGCTAGGGGATAAGAATGAAAATGTTTAGATTATCTAAAAAATTATCAATAAATAAGTTGAAAAATGATTAGATGAGCTGAAAAAGCTTGGGGATGAGAATAAGAACGTCTATCTCCTGAAAATGGATATCACTGATATCCCTTCTTACCATTCAATTGTAAAACAGGTGAAAATTGTGAACCTTAAACTAGTTTTTGTGTCCTATATAGGAGAAATTATATTCTCCATCCCGCAATATACTCACAAACAAAGTTGCGGCAATGCTTCCAAGCCGCACCCCTATATCGGCCTGCAAAATGTCTTTACTTTTGAATGCTATACTAAAGAGAAATGCAGCGTTAATTTTAGAATTTAAAAACGTCAACCATTATAACCTAAACATATTAATCATATTTATCATATTTTTTTGCTAGCATAAGCAAACATTCTCGCTCACTGGGACAAAGTTGTTGATTTGTTTTTAAAAACTGTGATTTGTTGCGAGACATTAGAGAAGATCAACATCAGCTGACATTAGAGAAGATCAACATCAGCTGACATTAGAGAAGATCAACATCAGCTGACATTAGAGAAGATCAACATCAGCTGACATTAGAGAAGATCAACATCAGCTGACATTAGAGAAGATCAACATCAGCTGACATTTCCAAAATATTATATTTTAGGAGAAAGTCGCATTTTTTAAATAAAATCATTTTGCGGAAGTGGTGCGGCTAGGAAGCGCTACGGGTGAGCGCGCTGCCGCAACTCTATGTTTTTGAGTGAACGGCGGAATGAGGGCTGCTTGCCTTCTCTCTTCTCTCTAGTATGTACTTCCTTCTTTATCTAAAGAAAAGAAATATTTTTCTTGTTCTCATGGTCTTTAAAAAGACGTTGAATAACAGATCCTTTACAATTGTTGGGGTAAAAATATCGAACAAATTGTAATAACAGGGACAACAAAAGAGAATAGAAACAAAGATATGATGTTCCTGGCATATTTTAATGATAATACTAAATAACACACAAAGCTGAAATGTTTATTATTAATTTTGAGGTTGAAGAGGTTGTAGGAGAGGCTGGATTAAACCTCCTGATCAACAATGCCGGCCTTTTGCCGACCAACCGGGATCTAGCCTCTGTCACGCCGGAGGACATGCGTCAAGCCTTTGAGGTCAACTGTGTGGCTCCTCTTTTCTTCACCAAGGTATCTTTTATCCATTCAATTTTAGCTTCTGCATGGGCTTGGATTTCATACCTAGCTGTACATTTAAATTCGGAGCCATTTAAGAAACTATTAGATATTAACGCTTGGCATAGTGCTGGGGAATTTTAAATCTTTCACAAAATAAACATTTTTTGGAGAGAAACTTTTAGACCCTAACATAAACCTTCCCTGAGGTCATGTGATGTTACACATTTTGGGCCTGAACTGTTTTTGGTTTGAAGATAGATTCCAACAGACAGTAAAGATAAACAAAACACAGGGCCCTTCTTTTAGCATCTAGTTTTGGTTTGAAGATAGATTCCAACAGACAGTAAACACAGGGCCCTTCTCTTAGCATCTAGTTTGGGTTTAAAGATAGATTCTAACAGACACTAAACACAGGGCCCTTCATTTAGCATCTAGTTTTGGTTTGAAGATAGATTCCAACAGACACTAAACACAGGGCCCTTCTCTTAGCATCTAGTTTTGGTTTAAAGATAGATTCCAACCGACAGTAAAGATAAACAAAATACAGGGCACTTCTTTCAGCATCTGGTTTACCTGCAGGCTGCAAATAATATTTCTCCGTTCAATTACAGAGATAATATCAATCGCAAAAATCTCCCAAAAAATTGAAAATTTGTTGTCTTTTTAATTTTAATTGAAAGCAAAAAGATCAGCAGACAACCCAATACTTGAATACATATATATTTAGTGAAAATTACTTCAAAAACAAAAATGAAATTATTTCATTCCAGGAAATGTTCCCGCTTATCGAGAAGGCTGGAAAAGCGAGCGGGGAGACAGGTAACAAAAATAATAAGGATCATGAGTCCGGAAAAGTTCAGTTTTTCTGATTTTTATGTGATTTTTTAGTAACCTTTAGCTAGGAGAATGCATAAATCAATTCTAGGCGATGTCCAAACTTTATTTTTCTAATGTTCACTGTGTTAGCATAGTAAAACTAGTCTTTGCTGTAGAAATCCAAGAGTAGAATTCTCTCAGCATTTTGGATTTGATTTGATTTGATTTGATTTGATTTGATTTGTGATCTTATAAATTTTGATATTAATAATATTGATGTAAATAATTTTGATATTTTGATTTTTTTATGATTTTTTGATAAGATTTTTTGATATGATTTTTTATGATTTTTGATATGATTTTTGATATTGTTTCTTGATAAGACTTTTAATAACACTTTCAAAAAGATTTTTTATTTGATTTTTTAATTTATATTTAATTTGATTGATTACTTGAATAGGACGGAGTTTGTCTAAGGCTGGTGTTGTACAGATGTCGACTGCTGTTGCGAGTATCGCTGAGAACACTGGTGGTGGACTATACGCGTATAGGTTTGTCTAAATATGTTTCTAGATGTTCTAAATCTGTCCTAAATATGTTTCTATATGTTCTAAGCCTGTTCTAAATATGTTTCTAGATGTTTCTGCCTTAAATTTGTTTCTATATGTTCTAAGTCTGCTCTAAATATCTTTCTATATGTTCTAAGAATGCACTAAATATGTTTCTAGGTGTTCTGAATCAAACGTGACTTTTGCATTTTTACTGCATAAAATCACATATCAATTATCAGAATTAAACACTTAAATCTGGAAAAACGACAATATCATTTTTGTTATTGATCAGAAAAAAATTTTAATGATACCGTTGTGAATCGGGCATTGAAATTTTCGCAAGGAATGTCACTAAATATGTTTCTAGATGTTCTAAGTCTGCTCTGAATATGTTTCTAGATGTTCTAAGTCTGTTCTGAATATGTTTCTAGATGTTCTAAGCCTGCTCTAAATATGTTTCTAGATGTTCTAAGTCTGCTCTGAATATGAGTATGAAAAGTATGTCCCAGGATTTGAAGGATACTGGAGTACTAATCCTTGCAATGCATCCTGGCTGGGTTCTCACTGATATGGGAGGTCCTAATGCCTTGGTAAGTTCAATATTCAATAACAGCTAAATAGTAAAGCTTCACTCGATCTTTAAATCAAAAAAGAATTTTGTATTTGTAACTGCAGTCCCTGTAGTTGAGCTTGTAATTTTGCAGAAATGCTATTAACACATTTTCAGAGATATAACAATAGAAAATTACAAATATTTTGAGGTATTTTAAATTTTTGTAAAAATAAATACGCTGTGCTTAATATTGGAGATTCTTACGTGTTGTTTTGTTTACAGATCACTACTGAAGTTTGTTGTAAGACAATGCTTGAAACTTTTGAATCCCTGTCCGATAAGGTGAGTTGATATTTTTTTTTATTTTATTGGATTACAAACTTATTTTAGCCCCCCCCCCCCCCTTCTTTGGTCTTACCACATAAGCCAAGGGTATGTTGGATTCAAGGGAAACACTGTCCCTCTAAACTAGATCGGAGAAACGTTGAATGTAATATGTGAGTTTATATCTAAAATTGTTAAGTCTTCATGTAAAGGGTTGATATACAAAATATCAATTTTTCCCTAAAACATAATTAGTTCCCCCTCCATGTTGGTGCACTATTGCTCTCAATGGAATTTTTTTTTAAATATTAAATAATTTTTCAATTTATAGGATCACGGAACTTTTCTGAGATACAACAATACTCCAATCCCCTGGTAAACGTAGAAGACGATATTCCTTCTGCGACAGCATTATGATGTACAATGTACAGTACACTTAAAGTGTACACTGTACACAGAACTATACCCAGTGTACACACCTTATTCTACACTCCGTACTGAATAGTGCAAGTTTAAAAAATAACTTGATGTAGTTATTTTCTCTAAATATACAAACATTTAACATTTTTATTAAATTATTCAACCTTAATGATTAAAATAATTAATAAGAAAAAATTTAAACATGTTACGGTTCTTTATACTTCATGATCAGAAGTTGTCAACATTTTTATTAAATTATTCAAATGATCAAAAATTAGTCTGCAAGTGGAAATCGTATATATTAGTTACCCCCCCCCCCCCTGGCTGCAACGTTTACAAGTACATGCATTGAACGGTACAGGATGAGCCAAAAAATCTTAAAGAGGCTCTCATATATGTTTGTATTTATAAAGCGTTATATACAGGGTGTCCTACGAAACATCACAGGTTGGTAAATAGTTCTGAATGCCTTCTTTCATCTATACTGAATAAGATGTTAAAAAATTCTTGCCGTTTATTTCGTTAAAAAATCGTTTACTCTATTTTACTTTGAAATTAGTATGACTGCCATTGAATATTTTTTATTATTTTCTTTGGTATCGAAACAACTAGACAAATTATGGAAGAAGGCATTTTAAACTATTCATCAACTGTCATGTTTCGTGGGACACGTTGTATGTATGTATAGTGTTAATTATTTATCTTCTAAATGTTAAAATTAATTTTAATTCACATGAAAGTTTTAAATCTAGGGTAACCTAACACAATTTAAAGAACAAAATGTTGAGAATTAAGGAAGTTGGATTCAGATTCTGAATCTGCAGATGCAGGCGTGCAACTAAGGGAGGACAATATGGGGGCAAGGCACCTCACTAGCCTGATTAAGGGGAGGGGCCCTCCCATTAAAAAGGCTTGTTAAGAAGTCCTTAACAGGGTTCCATATTATTATTATTAACAATCAACCAACAGACAAAGCACAACAACCTGTAGGTTGAAATACAATGAAAATAGGGTTGAGCTCCTCCACTTGCCCTGGTCTATATGGGAGCCATATAGTTCCAAAAATAGCTAATTTTCTTGAAAATAAAAAAATAATATGCCCCCACAGTAATTTTTTTTTTAACCTACACTCTTAAGTGAACTCAAATTCAACTATAACATTTCTCAATATAAGCTCAGATTCTTCTTATTTTTGCCCTCTTTCTAAAAAAATGCCTCTAAATTTCGATACACATTTTTGTTCGAATTCCCCCACCAGACCTAAATTTTCTCCCTATTTTCAGAATGCCACCAAATAATTTTAATTTGCACATAAATTTAATTTTTATATTCCCAAATGTTTAATAAATACAACCAAATGTAAAATGTACAGGCCTATAGAAAAACGGCTCTTAATTTTTTAAGTCACGCACAAAAAAGTTTTTCCCCCAACAAAAATTGACCCTTAAGATTAAAAAAAATTCACTTAAACAAAAAAAGTTTAACATAAAATAAAGATTTAAGATTTCCTCAAACTAAAAAATTGCCCCCTGAAATATAGTTAACGATTTTTCCCACACAGATTTGCCCATAATACCGAATGAATGCCCACAATGTAAAAAATTTTCCTCAAAATAACGATTTTCCCCACTCAGATTTGCCATATACCGAATGAATGCCCCACAATTTATAAAAGTTGTCCCTAAACAAACGATTTTTCCCACACAGATTTGCCATACACCGAATGAATGCCCCACAATACAAAAATTGTCCCCCTTCTGAATTGGTATAAGGTAGTTTTTTAATCAAGGGCGTATACAGAAATAAATGTAGGGGGGGGGGCAAGATTTTAATGCACATTTTTCTTGCCCCACCCCCCCCCCTAGAAATGTTTGGGGGGTGGGGGGCCAAAAAATATTCGCGCTATGTGTGAGATAGATGCTATCTCATTTGGACTACTGCCGTTTGAACTATTGTTCATTTGAACTGTTGTTCATTTCAACTACTGCACGTGGGACCACGTGAGTAGTTTAAATGAACAATAGTTCAAACGAGTAAATATATTGCTCATTTGAACTATTTTTTAGTTCATTTGAACTATTTTTTAGTTCATTTGAACTATTTTCATTTGAACTATTAAAATATTATTAATGAAATAAACAAAAAATAGTTCAAATGAACATAAAAATAGTTCAAATGAAAAAAAATAGTTCAAATGATTAAAAAATAGTTCAAATGAACAAAAAAATAATTCAAATGAACATAAAAATAGTTAAATGGACAAAAAAAAATAGTTCAAATGAACAAAAAAATTGTTCAAATGAACAAAAAAATAGTTTAATTTGAACTATTTTTTACCTATAACCTAACCTAACCTAACCAATTTTTTATTGTCCATTAGAACTATTTTTTAGTCCATTTAAACTATTTTTTTTTTCATTTGAACTATTTTTTTTCATTTGAACTATAGTTCATTTGAACTATATTTTCATGTTCATTTGAACTATTTTTTTGTTCATTTGAACTATTTCATTTGAACTATTTTTATGTTCATTCTGTGTAATGTTTATCTAATTAATTGTCATGAATATAACTTTATGAAGATTATAAAAAAAATTTTAAAACTGAATTGGGGTAGAAAAATAGTTCAAATGAGCTGCAAGAAATGCGTTGATTTAAACTACAGGATATGACGTCATGTCAGTAGTTCAAATGAACAATAGTTCAAACGAACAATAGTTCAAACGTACCATAGTTCAAACGGCAGTAGTTCAAATGAGAATCCACAGCCAAGATATTCTGAACTAAACAAGAATGTCGTCTTGACAAAAAAATATTTCTGAATCAGCTGTATAATAATAACGCATTGTGTACACACCAAATAACCGGGAAACTGGTGCTGTGAAAGCGTCCTACGGGTAACCTGTCCTAAATCTCAATATATTTAGTGTTTTTCGTTAATTTTTGAAAGAATTTGACATTTTTTCAGAATCATGTTGGATGTGGGCGTTGGCTGGGCAGCATTCAATAATTTTGAGAATATTGCTTTTGATTCAGAAAAAGAAGAATTTTCTGAATTTATCGAAATGTGGAATAATAGGTGAAAATAAAAGTATTTTTCGCGAGTTTTAGAAAAGATAAACAATTTGATTGCATTGATTTTTATATTTGCTATTCTTTTGTTGATCAGAAGTTTCTTTACTTGGAGAATATGTCTTATAGCTTTTCTCAATATCTTTTCTTTAAATTACATATGTTGTTAATTTAAAGAAACATTCTAGCAAAGAATGAAATTTTTCCAATATACGCGCTAACACCCCCCCCCCCCCCGCGATTTATTTTCTGCCGATCGCAATTTGGCCCCCCTCCCCTGTTATCCATTTACACAGATATCGGTCCTTAGGAGTCCTTTTCTAGGAAAACTACAAAAAAACGTCATCTTCAAAGTGCCATGCCCGATTCACAACGGTACCCTTAGCAATTCTTTGTTAATGATTAAGATATATACATTTGGGTTTCTTATAAAAAGCGACGTTTGGTTTACTGCAACTTAAAGACAATGGAGAATTTCGACGAAACTAAACACTTTTAAGCGATTAACCGACAATAAATTTTACCTTCTTGATCAGATAAAGGATTAACCCTATTTATTCTGACGTCTGGTTTCATGACTGGTTCCCTTGGGGGGGGGGGGGTCCAATTGCCCCTCCTATATTTTTTTGTGATATAAATCTATAACATTTTATACGTTTTTGGAAAGCCCTTGAACTCTGTTCATTAATCTTCAAAAAACTGGCAAATATGCAAAAATTCATTGCGAAATCTAGTCATTAAACAAAAAATATGCTAAAAGAAATTGCTCAAATTGCAACAATTTATTTTTGAAAAGCCCTTGGCCCAGCGAATTCAAATGTGCAAAAACATTTCCAAAATTTATAATACCTAAATATGTATTCAAGAAAAACTGAAAATGTGCAAATTCCCCTTGAAGGCGTCTGTGCAAAATTTCTTTGAAAAAATTGTGCAATCTGGTTGCTTTTGTTATTTGTAGGCTTTCTAAAAAGTCATAAAATGTTGAAATCCAATGACTGGAAGTAGGTATAGGTAAAATAAGGCATTTAGGCAGTATGTCTGAGGATTCAGGCAGTGGGCATGTATTAGTTAGGAAAGTCAGAAAATTTGAGCTTCCTAGCAGAAATACTTTTTGAGTTTTCGCAAAAAAATCGACAGTGGGGCTAATTGACCCCCCCCCCCCCTTCGGGATAAATAGAATTTAAAGGTATAGTGAATCGGTCATGCTCTTTTTAAACAGAGGGTACCTTGAAATAATGACTACAATTTCTTTTAAATGTGATTTACATATTTTATAATAATGATAATCTGTTTTTTATTTTTAAATCAGGGTCTTTTTTATTATTTAGACTTCAAGATGCGCTAGATGCTGGCCTAGAATATTCTAATTCTCTACTGGCGTTTAATCTTCTACGAAGTTCAAATCTCTCCGCGCATGTACAGTCCCGTGTACTGTCTGCGATACAGTTGGAGTACGACGAAGATTGTGACATCATTCATCTTGTTATTCAAATTCTGGACAAAGAATTTGTTCAGGATTCACTCACAATTCTAGATCAGGTATGAATCTACTCGTTTGAGAACAAAGCTATATTCAGAAACTAATAAATATGGATAAAAAACCTAGGCATTGCTTTTATTTTTCTATAAATACATATTATTAAAACTCTTAAAATTATTGTTTTATTCTCTAAAATAAAAGTTTCTCATTTTTTTCTACAGTGATACCCTTAATAACGAATACATCGAAAAAATTCATCAAATGTCGTATTCTTCACTTTCTGATAATGGAATGTTGCAGATATATAGTTTTTTAATTAAATGATTATATGGAACTCTTTAAAACTGTTCCCGCATATTCATAGCTATTTATTTATTTTCGCAAATACTGAAATTTACGAAATATAGAATAAAACTCATTGAAAAATTGTCAAGACGACATTTTATAAATTCTTCCGATGTATTCGTTATTACGGGTTTCACTGTATTATTGAAAATGTTCCAGGAGGAAGTAAAGATTAAGATTGAAGAGAATCCAGAGGAAGACCTCGACCAAGAAACTTCCAATGAGATAGGAGAAGCTACAGAAGACTTNCAAAGTTCTCCTAGAATGTTTTTTCAAATGTTAAACAAATAAAGCAAAAATTCAAATAGTAAATTTTTTGTGATTATTTGATAAGTTCATTTGATGATTAAAATTCCAATATGTCAAATGAGTAATGATACACAGACCTATCATGCTATCTTTTTTCACTATTGACTGTGGTGTATTCATTTTCTTTTATACACTCTTAAAGTAGATAAGAAAAGAAAATCTTTTAACCCAAAAATTTCAATAAAGGGGATGATGGAGTTTGATGTAGGGGGGGGGGGGCCTGCCTTCATTTTTGATTCAAATCTTCCAATTTTTTGGGTGCACGTCTAGTTAGTGATCGAAATTCCTAAAAAAAATCAAATTGAATTTTAATGAACTCTAATGACCTTCACAAATAGAAAATATTTCAACTATGCTTTATGCATATCAAACGAAATCTAAGAACCCAGGGAATACAGTAGCGGCAACAAATTCAGTGTTTGACCTTCTAATGACCTCTTAAGACCTCTAATGACCTAAATGACCTCCAAAAATGAAAATGTTTTAACTATGGCTTTATGCATATCAAA